CACGCTTAATGTCCTGATAATCCTTAGTAAAAAACATCTAAAAATATTCTTAGAAAAATTCTTTAAAAATCTACGTTTAATGTCCTACGTTAATGTCCTAAGGATCCTTCGAAAAAATCTCTAAAACTGCTCTGAGAATTTTTAGAAAAAAGTCTTTAAAAATCCTTTTAATGTCCTAAGGATCTTTCGAAAAAAGAACCTCTAAATCTGTTCGGCGAAATCTTAGAAAAAATCTTTAAGAATCCACTTTTAATGTACTGAGGATCCTTAGAAAAATTTCTTTAAAATGTCCTGGGGAAAAAAATTGTAAAAATTGTAATGTCCTGAGGATCCTTAGAAAAAATTCTTCTGAGAAATCTTAGAAAAATTATTTAAAAAAATACGTTTAATGTCCTGGGGATCCTTAGAAAAAAATCTTAAAAATCCACTTTTTATGTTCTGAGGATCCTTAAAAATCCTTCAAAATCCAAGTTGAATGTCCTGAAGATTCTTAGAAAAATTCTGTAAAACTGGTCTGAGATGGCTTGGAGATCCTTAGAAAAAATCCAAATTAATCCGTTTCAATGACCCGGGAATCCTCAGAAAAATAATTCTTAAAAAATCCACTTTTAATGACTCGAAACTGAAGATCCTTGAAAAAATTTGTTGTAAAACTCTACTTTTAAAGACTTTAGGGTCCTTTGAAATATTAAAAAAACTTAATGTCCTGAGGTCCTCAAAAATAAAGCCTCGAAAAGAAGCCTCTTCATACTACTTAGGGGCATCAAGAAAAAAACTAATTCAAAAATCCGCGATCAATAATCTCAATCCCCTTGGAGAAGGAAACAATTTAGAAAAACTAAGACTATATACTCTGTTTAGACCAAACTTGATTTTTATATTCGAGAGCTATGCGGTCAAACAGAGGGACAGACGACCCTCAAATAATTCAGAAACGAATTTCGTCCTGTGGGTCCTAGGGTCTAAAACTATTATTTCGTTAAATAACACCATAACACTGAAGGCACGAACCTAGCCTGGAATGCTTCGAAACTATTTCAAGGTGGCCCAACCGACAATAAAAAAGATTTTCAAGCCTAAAATTTCTAAAAAAAAAGTAACATATCGGAGGATCCCCATCCTTTCTTGAAAATATTGTATATTTTTTTCAATTTCAAGGCCCTCATGCTGGGCTGAATGTGAGCCTGTTCCACTGTCCATGTTCGATTGGAACACCTACGCACAATAATATTCTTTTCTCTAATACTAAAGGTATACAAAAACCCCTTAAGGGACTTCAATACAAATTGTAGATGTGTGTGCGTGTGTGTATGTATTTACAAATCAACAATCAGTAGTAAAAACAAGAACAACAGCAACAACAATGATGCCATTAAAATAATTCTCATGATGTACCGTAAACATTTGTCAAGAAATAGTATCTCTACTTTTTCATTTCTCTGGCTAAACACGCACACGTTTACGCATACATACGGAGAAGAAAAGAAAGATAAATAGGCATAGATACATACAAACAAACACGCTATGGTGTGTATGTGTACACAGCGTACAGCTGATTTCAATGAATAACAATCAAGGGACACAGTGCACACACACGCACACTTCACCGTGACAGCAACGCACAAAAGTTACTATTACGAATGACTACCACAACAGCAGCAACATCCACACAGATAACGGCAACAATAACAACAATAACTACCAATGCATTGAGAGCCTTACAAAATGATTGAGGGACAAGGCCAGATTTGCATTTTTTTTTTTTTTTGTTGTGTGTCTTCTGTTCGCTCGTAAATGATTGATGTTGGGTGAATGAGTGAGTGAGTGAGACTTGTGTATGTGAGAGTGCCTGTAAGTATGTGTATCTTTGCCAAACTGAGATAGCCGACAACGACATTACAATTGAGAGGCATAAAATTTACATAAATCACACAATAACGGAAGTATGATGCTGGTGGGGGTGGTTGGAGTTAGAGATTTGGAAGTTAACAAATGAATTTTGGGAAAATGAAACTTTAAAGCAAAAAGTTTGCCAGTCAATAACATGTGATTTGGGAGGAATAATAAAAGTTTTTTTTTTTTTAATTACATTTCGGAAATTTGTGGGAATATTAAATGGTACTCGATTTCCTTTGGAAATGAAAATTCTGTTGCCACAAAAATCCCAGGAGTGAAAGGGAGCAAGTTTTTTATGTGTATTAAAAAATAATATGTTAAGTTTACAATTTTACTATATACAGGGGGAGATGAAAAAACTGAAACCAACTTCAGACTGCTGTCATTTGTAAGCCACTCGTCCGACAGCTATTAAAATAATATAAAATTATTAAAAATATGCGTATGAGTAACATGAAATATATGACATTCATCAGTCATACGCTTAGTAGCCGATGTACTGAAAACTTTAGATACTTTAAATATATCACCTAAAATCCAAATACATTATTCCAATAAGATTAAGAGTAATTATTATTTACATTCATCAACTAATTGCTCACACGCACACACAGGGAGAATCCCTCCTCTCATTATAACAAAAAAAGTAAACTCACAATTCACACTTGTCGTGTCTCTTCTGTTTGCCTCTGTCTCTTGACATTGTTAATTAAGTGTCGCTGCATTCGAAAAGATAGTTTTTCCCTCTTGACATTGTTTATATTTTATTTTTCAAAATTTCTTCTTTAAATAATGCTCTTCCCCCCCCCCAAAAATTGAAAAGAAATAAACTAATGTTATTTTTTTTATAGTTTATTAAATTTGTATATCCTAAAACACTATGTGTTGGGGGTATTTTATGTTTGATTGGTCCAAAAAGTTTGAAATACCGTGAAATATTGGCCTTAAACCAGCACTGCTCAAAACCATGAGATAACACATAAGCCCACAAAAGAGAACATTTAAGAAAATTTAATATTCTGTTATTTTTTATATTTAATTTTTTTCTCCGAAAAATGAAGTATAAGGGCAGATATTGTTTCGAATTGGTTACGTATTAAATTAGCAGTAAAAATGGAAAGACATCATTTTCACTTTAAGCGCACGATATTTAAATGTAATTTTCATAGAAACTATTGTACCTAGATACAAAGTTTATTCTGAGATTGGTAGTGAAATTTTGTGTAGAATATTTTTGCTTCTAGTACCTTTCGCCTAGAATGAAGTTTTATGTTACTTTCCAGCGTCAACTTGATCAAAAAAATTAGGGAATATTTTCGGTATTTTGATATGTATTTGGATATGCAATGGAAATGTAAACTTCTTTTCTTTGGTTATCGATAGTGAAATTGGATGAGGAATATTTTTGTCTTTGACGCCATCTTTCTTAAATGATGCTTTGTTGGAGATTTTTACACAAAATCACACAAAGTACGGCTTTAACCTTAAAATTTGTTTTTTTTTTTATATATATTTAAATTCCTGGCGTTTAGGTAAAATATAGACTCTTGACGCCTTCTAGGAGCAATAGTAGAATTTTATGGGGAACAATTTCGTGGAATATTTTGATGTGCTACGATTCCGTTTAAAGGGAGTTTTTAAGCTTTGCTGACTCATTTGAGGGTTAAGATTTTCTACCAAAATAATCCTCGTATTTTTATCTGCAATATTGCCGAAGACACTATAAAATTAAAATGCATGGATTCCGTGGAATCCTAATCCGAAATTTTACAAAAAAAAAGAGTGGAAGAGGAAGGAACTTGCCCCCTCTTTTGACGTTACTTAGCACTGTAAACTTTCAAAACGCCAATGCACGTGGCTTCTTTTATTTGCTCTATTTTCAAAATCTCCGAATTCAAAAATCTACCTGACAGTGTTATTGAAATAAAAGGAGAAAGGAAACGCCTTGTGTAGTAATGCCGTAAACGCCGATTTGTTGATGGTTTATAAAAACTAAGAGAAACTAGTATCATTATTATAAAAAAATAATAAAACATAGGTTTACTTTTTTATGAGTTTTTTATATATTTATTTATTATTTATTAATTTTCTGCGTTTCAAACTCCAATTTCTTTCCAATCTCTTGCCTGTTAAAACCGACCACCGGGCTTGTTGAAATCTGGTTGAACTGGTCGATTGGGTGGCAAAGTGTGTGGCCTCCGGGTTCCAGAAATAGGCCTTTGCGGTCCAAAGGCATTTGCCAGGGGAGACATGATAGCCAAAACAGCCAATGCAACAACAAAAATATAATTGAAAGCTTGCATTACGAATATTAAGAAGTGATGCAGACGAAACGAAAGATGACAGTTAATTGCCAAGAAATCATCGAAACACGAATTTATATAGCTGCTCTTATCTCTTTCACTGAATGTTTGGGGGATTCACTGGCATGTGAATCACTTCCCAATGTGAAGGGGGATTTTTCTATTGAAATATTATTTATGTATGTTTTTATTAAAACAAAAAAAAAAAAAGAAAAGAAAAACTGAGGTCAAATTTGAAAACAAAAAAAAACAAAAATAAAACGTGGGGATAATTTACTCAGCTTTTTAGTTCCAGTAAAAATTATTTTCTCTCTCTAAGGAGAAATGAACAAATAGAATCAGAAACATATTATCTTCGCCTTACCAGGACTCAATTGAAAAATATCGGGAAGTAATTAATACATTGTTTTTGTTTTTTTTTTTTATTGTTAAACATTCAATCAATTAATTTTTAAATCTGGAATATTCCCCCATTGGCTTAACTTCATGTTACTCTCTATTGCAGAGAGCATTTTTGCTGACAAAAACATTGCTCTCTCTAACAAAGAGAAATATAATGTTAAGCCAATGGGGGTATTATACAGACTTAAGGACTCATTTATTTTTCTTTTTTTTTCAGATATTCCCATAGAAAGTCTTCAGATCCATTTTTTTCTTTTGTCCCCTAAGAAGTCTCTTCTCAACTGTTTTGATATAAATTAAAACACCATTATTATTTTGTTAATTATATTTTGTTTGTAATTAATAACTATATTTTTGTTGTTTAATAAACATTTAAAGTTGTTTTTTTTTTTAATTTATTTTTGGTTTGTTTGTTATTCATACTTTCCGTCTTCATTATTTTAATTTTGTTTTTAAATATATCATTTGTTTTCGCATTTATATGTTGTTGTTTTTGTTGTATATTAGATTAGTTTTCATATCTGTTCTTGTTTCTTTAGTATGTATATATAATTAAATGTAAATAATATCAATTTGTTGCTAGATTAATCAATGATATATTACTTTTTTTGGTATATTTTGACGTTTTTTGGTTAACACTTTCTCCGTAAACATAAAACCATTATTTTAAGATAGAACAATTATAATGAAAATAATACTAAAAAAATTATTAAACTAATTTTACATTTGGTAGAGTTTTTTCGGATATTTTCTCGCTTTAAATAAAGCCATTTTTATGGGGAAAACAAACAAAAGAAACCCTTTTTTTTGATAGTTACTTTTTTGCCATTTACAATTTTAGTTTTTTTTTTTATTTTTAAACTTTCTATATGAACTTCGTTTGTTTTCTTATTTGTTATTTTTTATTTAAAACATATAATTTATGTATAATAATACAATAGTTTTGTTAAGTTATGTTTTTTTGTTTTAATTTATTTATTTTTTTTTTTTTGTTTAGATAATGTAAACATTTAAAATATTTGATTACTATGAGGCGGATTTTCATAATATCAATTTGTTTCCTTTTACGTCCAATGCTTGGCGCTGACTCTTTATAACACATTTCGCAGATCTCATTTTCTCTTTCGTTTGACTCTCTTTGGGTTTTCTAATACTCCTATAATACCGTCTCTCCTCATCTTGAAGCCAATATCATTGTTTCCAAACTCTTTCATTATAACAGATTAGAGAGAGTGTGTTTTGTTTGTTTCTTTGTTTTGTTTTTAGGAGAGCTTATTACAGACACATACATACAAACATTTACTGTTACATAGTATATATGCGTATGTGTTTCTTGTAGTTAAGGTATTTTTTATCTTTGGTTTTGTTTAATCAATGAGTGATATATTTATTCAATTATCTGTAGGTATGTATGTATGCGTTTATGTTTTTTTGTATATCTATACTTTTTGTTTGTATGTATGAATATATATTTAATATGTATATGTATATAATGTATGTATATATTTTATATATATATGATATAATGATGATTTATTAGGAGTATAAATAGAATATCTTAGAAGGTACAATACTAAGGTATGTGGTATGTATGGGGTATGCATTTTATAAATGTTTGCATTGTGAGCGTGAATGCTGATATATGTAGGTGTGAGTATATGAACATCCTTTGTAATGTAGGTGAGATGAGAATAAATGATAGCATAAGAGATTGCTGATTGTGTGTATTTTAAATATCTCTCTTTGCCGCGCTTATTGATTAGCAACATATTCTAAAAATAAAACAGAACTAAAGAGAGTGCCTTGTCTATTTCTCATATATTTGGAAGAGTGGTTAAGAGTAGAGGGAACTAAAAGGGATATTTTATATTAAAAATATATTCATAATGAGCGGGAAATTGTAAAGTGGACTCTTTAAAAAAATATATTTTAGAAAATTAATCAGAGCTGAGCAAAATCGTACAATAAAGGGAAGAAATGGACCGATCTCTACCATCTTTATATTGTGTTGATAGAAATATTGACATGTGCCAAGTCTGAATGGAATCGAATGTTAATTTCGCGTTTTATGAGCTTCATGGAATTTCAAAATTTTGACCCTTTGTGGGAGAGGTACCAAAAGGACTGGACCGATGTATTCCATCTTCACAGCAGATGTTGTTTTTGTAGAAATAATGGAATGAGTGAAATATGAAGAGAACCTGATGCTTATTTTGGATTTTATAATCGTTTTGGTTATTTTAAACTTTGACGCTTTATGGGGGAGGTACCGAAAGGAATGGACCGATCTCTACCATCTTTATAACAGATCTTCTATTGATAGAAATATTGAAACGTGCCAAGTCTGAATGGAATCGGATGTTAATTTCGTGTTTTATGAACTTCATAAATATTCAAAATGTTGACCCTTTGTGGGGGGTGTACCAGCCGGAGTGGACTGATATATGTCATCATCCCACCAGACCTTGGATTAATAAAAATATTGTAATGTGTGTAATTTAAACATAATCGGACAATTGCATCACATTTTCTTAAAGTTATAATTATTCAAAATTTTGACCCTCTGTGGGAGAGGTACTTGATGGAGTGGACCGATATTGTCAATTTTCGCACCTGACAAAAATCTAATAACCTTTCTCTTTCTTTACAGTAATTTTTTTTTTTTTTTTGAAAATTTCGAAATGGGTGAAAATAATATTACGATGTACCAAGTTCTAGTTCCTTCGAGATCGACTCCAAATATCCTAAAACGAATTTGGTCCAAAGAGACCTAGGGTCTAAAACCGTTATATTAATGAGGCACGCTTTGACCGTATCAAATGATATAAACCCCTCTAGCCATATGGCAGAGAGTATAAAAAGACCTAGGGTCCAAAACCGTCATTCCGAAGAGGCCCGTTTATATACTCTCTCTAGCCATATGGCTGAAGGTATAAAAATACAGTTTCAATAAAAGTAAAGTAAAAATGTATTTTTTTTTTATAAAACAATGCTGACTTAAAAAAATAAATATACTATAAGAAATTTGTTTGAAATAAATTTTGAAATAATTTAATTTCTAGAGTAAATAAAAATGATTTTGGGTTAAGAGATCTATAAGAGATTATAAAATTTGAGAATTGTAAGATAAACTAAAGAGTCCCCTCTCTTAACCACTCTCAGTTGCTGCTATTTTCTCATTAATTATCTAAGTTATGTGTGTGTGTTATTTTCTCATTTCCTATTGGTGTTGTGTGTTTGTGTAATATTCTCCTGTGTAAACTTATGGACCGTTTTATTATTTTGTTTCTTGTAGTTTTGTTTTTTTGGTTTAAAAAAATACATTTATATTAAAAATAGTTTATACATTTATAAAGTATATATGTATATGAGTTTTGTTTTTTTTTTTTTCATTTGGTTTTTTTGGTTCCATGGATCTTGTGATTTTGTGGTGTTCATTGCATTTTAATGCTCTTATCTTCTATTTGCTGTGACATTGCAAAAGAACACAAATCAACGAAAAATATATTTTTATCAAAAGTCATTGTTAAACTGATTCCAAAAACAAAAACTTATCTCTTTATCATTACAATTTGCTAGCAACTAATAAATAAATAATCACAAAAATAATTATGTAAATAATACCAAAAATAAGTTGAATATTTTTTAGGCCAATTTTTACGATATGTTTCTGTTAGTTTTCTTTCGTTTTTCATCATTTCATTTATATTTTAGTTTAAATTTCTTTCATTCTTCCTTGTGAAGCTGAAATTTGCTATAAAAATTTCGTTACAACGCTGACTTAGCTTCTTGCCGGTTTGTTTGTTTGTTTGCCTGTACATAAGGTATATAAGTGATTGTATATAGAGTAGTGGAATATATAAGTGTATATTAGGTTTGCATTGCAGTTGTAACAACTAGTGGGTCATATATAATATATATAGGAAATCATTGCTTAAAGAACAAAGTTGGTTTTTTCTGCTCAAATATCAGATGAGAAGAAGAAGAACTTCTTCCCCGGTAAATTTTTAGTTTAACACAGTATTTTTTGTTTTTTTTTTTAATAATAATAAGCTATTATAAACAATTTGTTTTTTGTACTGGATTGTAAGATAATCTGTTTGCAGAACTTTTGCATTAACTTCTCTATGAACATTCTCTCGAAAAACAAAGCCAACTAATCAACAAAATTAAATAGTAAATTGGATGGGTAATGATGCGATGCAGGTCATGATGGCTTAGCGGCCTTATTGTGTGCCAAATGGGTTGCCACCGGGTATATCCAAGTTGCCGCCGGTGGTCTGATACGTGCCATAGGCTGTGCCATTGGGATTCATTTCGTTGAGACGAGTATTGGAGAGGGCACGAGGTATGGGATTGCTGGGTACGCCATGCGGAGCCAAATGGGAAGTTTCTTCGGCCACCTGAAAATGAAAAAAATATAAAGATTAAATAATTTTACATAAAAAAATGTTGCTTTTTTCTCACCTGACGTGGATCCTCGGTTGCTGGAATTTCGGAAATGAAACCTTCCTCCTTGCGGTAGAAATTCACAAAGATAAAGAAACCCAACACAAAGAGACAGCAAATGCCATACCAGCGGAATGTGGCCGTGGTACCATAGTAAGTCACAAACATACCCCCGATAATGGCACCACATCCCCGACCCAGACCATGATGTATGCCCTGCAAAACGCCCTGTGATGATCCCCTCAAATGTTTCGGTGTATTATGGGCAATATATGAACACGAGGCGGCCCACACCGCTGCATGTGTAATACCCTGCATCAACTCGAACGGCAATACCATCCAGGGATTGGAAATATACGAAATATACAGGAAACGTATCACATTGCCCATCAGGCCCAGACACAATACCTTAACATGGCCAATCTGGGTTATCAAACGGAAACTAAAGAAATAGGCAAATATTTCCGATACATGATTGATGACCGATGCCACACCGAACAGGGTGGGAGAGCCGCCGAAATCCTGCAGATGCCAAAACAGAAAGGTGAATATCAAACCAATGCCAAAGCCCATGAACCAGGCCACGAACAGGAACGAGGCTGTCTTCAAATCTTTGATGTGGGTCAAAACGGTCATCCATTCCGGCATTTCTTTGTTGGTTTGAGCAAATATTTTCGACTCAGCACCCATGGATGGGGTGGGACCCACGGCACCTGTTGTCCCCGTGGTAACACCACTGCTACCTCCTCCCACTGCCAAGGAAGGCAGATTCAATTGGGCCGCCAACTGATTCATAGACTCCTCTTCCGCCTTTTTATTTGGATCAATGACATTCTCCTGGACCTGAGGTTCCAATTCTATGGGATCATATTTGAATGTGATTTTCGTGGCCGAAATAATGGCACAGGTCATGAGCACGGTGAAAATGGCAAAGCATACATTATAGTTCTTTTCCATGTGGCCAGCACCGCAGGGATGATGAGAAAATGAGGTGGAGTGGTCCAAAACAATGCCCACAATAAACATGGAAATACCCCAACCCAGAGAGCCGAACATACGTTGATGGCCATATTTATCGGAATCCTCACCCAGCAGTGTAATGACAGCCGAATCGGCGAGAGTAATGGCCGGAGCACTGAAGAATTCGCCAATCAAAATGACCAGCAGTAAGAGGAAGAAAGCTTTTTGGATATCCTGTAAATAAAAAAAGAAAAATCAATTATTAGAAATAAACCATCAAAATAAATTATGGAGATCATGGGTGTTCAAAAATATGAGAAAAAGAGAGAGAGAGCGAGTCTATTTGAGAGTAATGTCCCCATGTTAACACAAAATATAATTATAGGAAAACATCCAGCAGGTTAAGAAAGTAGAGCTAAAAATAGAGTAGTGATATATAGAAGTTTTTGAAACCGCCCATGGCCCTATGGGCTAGGTAACTGTATTAATTGAAAATAAAAATAAAAAAATGAAGACACGTATATAGGTGTATTGAAAGTTTGACTCGCAAGGTAATCTGAATAGAGAGGGAAATTCTCCCATCTTGTATTTTTTAGGTTAGGATATTTTGAAACCCCTGTATTTTAGGTATATGGTGTCTTCGACAATATTACAGACAACACTATTAGGATTATTTTGGTCAAGAAAATTAACCCTCAAGCGGGTCATCAAAGGGGTCTTTTTGGTCGTTTTTTAAAAATATGGTTAAATACTCCTTTTAAACGGGATCGCAGGAAGTCAAAAGTATTCAACAAAATCATTTGTCCTAAAATTCTACTATGGCTCCCAGATATCCTCAAAAGTCTTATTCTTACCTAAACGCTAGGAATTCATAAGTATTAAAAACTCATTTTAGGGTTAAAACCGTACTTTATGCGATTTTATGTTAAATTCTCCTAACGAGCATCATTTTAGAAGGAAAATTTCAAAGACAAAACTATTCCTCATCAAATTTCACTGTAAGTCACCAAGAAATCTCTATTTCTATTGTATATCAAGAAAATATTTGTTTCAAAGTTGCCAAATAGACTCAAAAATATTTGCCAATTTTTTTATGATTTTTTTCTTGGTATTTTTTTGAATTGATGGCTGAAAGTGAAACAAAATTAGATTTTAGATAGAAGGTATCCAAAGAAGAAATATTCTACACAATATTTCACTATAAGTCTTAGAATAAACTATATTCCTAGCTATTATGGTTTTTAAGGAAATTACATTCGAAATTTTGTATATTACAAGTGAAAATTACATGACTACGTTTTTGACCATTAATTATGTGAGTTTCCAATCTGAGTCAAAATCCCCCTTTATACATAAATTTTGGTGGAAACGATCAAAGAGAGTTATATTCTCCATTAAATTTCACCATGAGTCTCCAAAGAGAAGAAATCTCTATGTCTATTATATATCAAGAAAATACTTGCATCAAAGTTGTTAAATAGACGCAAAAATATTTCCTAATTTGTCTTAACAGTTTTGACGCAAAATTACATTTTAGATAGAAAGTACCAAAAGAAGAAATATTCTGCACAATATTTCAATATAAGTCTTAGAATAAACTATATTCCTAGCTATTATGGTTTTTAAGAAAATTACATTCGAAATTTTGTATATTACAAGTGAAAATTACATGACTACGTTTTTGACCGTTAATTGTGTGAGTTTCCAATCTGAGTCAAAATCTCCCTTTATACTTAACTTGTTGTGGAAACTTTCAAAGAGAGATATATTCTCCATTAGATTTCACTGTGAGACTTCAAAGAGAAGAAATCGATATTTCTATTATATATCAAAAAATAATTTGCTTTAATGTTGTTAAATAAACACGAATATATTTCCTATTTTTCACCAGTTTTTTTTTTCACGGCCCCTTTTAGAATTTGTGCATGAAAGTAACATAAAATTTTGTTTTATGTAGAAAGTGTCAAAAGAAGAAATATTCTACATAAAATTTCACTATAAGTCTCAACATAAACTTTATTTCTAGCTATAATGGTATTCAAGAAAATTAGATTCGACAATACAAGTAAAAATATTATGTGTTTACATTTTCACAGCCAATTGAATACGTCTCAATTCTAAGTCAAAAATCTCCCTTATTACTAAATTTTTTGGAGAAAGTCTCAAAGGAAGAATATTCTACATCAAATTTCAGTATAAGTGTCTGAACAAAAGAAATTGCTATACTTGATGTGTAATGGTAAAAATAGCATCGAAATGGCTTATAAAAAAAACTTTTTTTCCGAAAAATTCAGAACTTTTTCCAGATTTGATACAAATTTTCTTATAATTTCATTATCAAATAATCGGTCTAGTATGGGCAAAATTCTAGCGGTTTCTATACTCGGTTTGTACATAAAAATCTCAAAAGAGTTTCGGGTTCTCATGCCGAACCGGTTTAAGTCTACCACAATTATTCATTTTGTAAATATTTTTCAAGTATTTTGTCTTGAATTTCTATGAATCTCTTGTGACCCTCTCTCTCTCTCCAGTGAAATGACCAACGTTTGACCAACTTACCGGTGTCTTATAAACCATACTAGAGAAAATCGGTGTTACATAGTCACTATGCTCCTTGGCATCATAGTTGCTTACAAAACGTATATGGACGGGTGAAATGCCAGCATCAATTCGTGGGAATATGGAACGTTTGCGCCTGGAAAAATTAGAGAAAAAGTTATGTTATTAAAAATAACCTAGAACCTGTATATTTATGATGAATTCAAGAGAAAAACACAATTCCAAATGTGAATTTAAATGTCAAACAAAAGAAGCCTAAAATTAGGAAAAAGTTATTTGGAATGGAGTTTTTCTCTCACATTCTCTGAATATAACCCCATCTCCCTCACCTTGAATGTGTTTCCTCCAGGGCATCTGGTGTTGGCTTGGTCAGAGCTCCCACAATGGCCGATTCATTGTCGAATGTCTCAACACTGTCACCTTGCAGGTCGGCCATATTAAATGCTGAGAGATCTCGTTTTGATCTTGTATAGGTTAGAACAAAACCGGTGGCATTACGTTCTATACATTTAACCGGTTCTGGTTTGATAAAGCTCAAGGGAATCGTAAACAATATCCAGCAAGCCAATGATCCCAACAATAACTTTTTACCCTGGCGGCATCTGGAAGAGCAAATTTATAATAATATTAATAAGGTTTGGTCCAAATATTGCAATACAATACTTACCTGTCGGCATAGGATCCCCAAAATGGTGCCGACAAAAATTCCACAAATGGACGCATACCAATTAATATACCTGAAAAATATTAAAGGACATTCAGATCATTAAGCTCGCCTCGAAAGAGAAATAAACAAAAAAAAAAATCATAAATATGTAATATTCGCCTTAACAAGCAAAAAATTAGGACATTACAAATGTTTACTAAGAAAATGTAAGGTTATGAGCGATCATTGTTTGCCATAACCCAATTCCAATCTTAGGGGGTGTTAAATAAAAATTCCATCACATAGGCATTTGTGAGACTCTGATTTTTTTGTGAGAAACCGTTGCATTTTTCGGTATGGTGAAGAGACACTATTTCTCGCTCTCTCCCAACAACTCAAAAATTTCCTAAATAAAACATTCCACACTCTGTCACAAGAAGTGACTTTTCAATTAAAGATAATTTTTATGACCCAAATACTCACCACACTGTCCCGGATTCATGCCCATTTGTTTAAAATAAACACCCATCAGAGGGAAAAGCGAACCAAAGGCAGCATAAAAGAAAAAGTAAAAACTTTTCACCGGGATCAATTCGTGTTCCGTTGGACCGAACAGCATTTCCACAACATCAGCATGGCTGCGAATTTTATTGGTGGCTTCCTTGGGTTCGGGATAGCTAAGGGAACATAAAAACATATTTTAAATAAGTTTTTTTCTCCAATTGCGAAACAAAAACTTACAGATTAGGATCTACTTCTCCCTCGGCCTCAATATCCACCCTTGGTCTGGCAGCCACACCATAGGGCTGTTGTGGTATAGCTCCCCCGGCCGCACTCTGGCCATAGCCACCGCTTTGATCATAACCTCCACCACCATAATCACCAAATGCTGGCTGCTGCTGTTGTTCGTAACCACCGCCTCCCCCTAGGCCAGCAGGATTACCAAATGGGTTTGCACCGCCTCCATATTGATCCATTGTGGATTTTGTTTTCCTTGTTTTTTTTTTCTTAAACCAAGTCCACCAGACGTCGTTTAGTCACAAACAGAGATAGCCGACGACAGCCTTACAAGTTCACTGAAAATAGAAGAGTTATTAGAAGGAAAGTAGTTAATGAAAAGAGAAAAAAAAATTCGAGGTTAATTAAAGGTTTTTAAAAATTGTGTTTCAATACCTAAAATTGGTCCATAAAAATATATCAGAGTAGTAAAGCAATAATCAGATTTTTATTTATTTGCAACAATTGACGGTTTTGAGATGGGATTTAAAATTAATGGTGGAATTCTCTAACTCATTTTTTGAGTTACCGACAAAAGTCGATAACATTAAAACGCTTCTAATTTCGGTAGTTAACCACAATTGTCGGTAAGGTAGCAACTCTCGAAGAGAGTATTCGATTTAATCCAAATTTGGTACATAGTAATATTATTATCAAACTTAGATCGAGTTCGGAGATGGGCAATACCGGTCCACTCCTTCTGGTACCTTCTCCACAAAATGTCGTAATTTCAAAGAAAATATTTTGTTGCACAGAGAGGGAAAAATAATCCGATTTTGCTCCAACTATGCAAATCCTAATATTTTTATCATTGCTAGGTCTGGTGCGAAAATGGACAATATCGATTCACTCAATCAAGTACCTCCCCCACAAAGGGTCAATATTTTGATTAATTATAGCTCTTATAAAATGTGATGTAAGAGTCCGATTGTCTTCACATTACACACATCATAACATTTTTATTAACCCAAGGTCTGGTGTGAAGATGGAATATATCGGTCCACTTCTTCTGGTACCTCCCCCACAAAGGGCCAAAATTTTGAACATCTATGTAGCTTCTAGGACGCGAAACTAACATCCGTTTTCATTCAGACCTGGCAAATCTCAATATTTCTATCAACACAAGATCTGTTATAAAGATGGTAGGGATCGGACCATTTCTTCTGGTATCTCCCCCACAAAGGGTTAAAATTTTGAATAACAAAAGTGATCCTAAAATCCGAAATAAGATCTCGGTTCTCTTCATATTTCACACATCCCATTATTTCTACTAACACAAGATCTGCTGTGAAGATGAGATAAATCGGTTCACTCCTTCTGGTACCTCCCCCACAAAGAGCCAAAATGTTGAATACCCATGCAACTCATAAAACGTGAAATACACATCCGATTCCATTCAAACTTGGCCAATCTCAATATTTCTATCTACATAAGATTTTTTATAAAAATGTTAGAAATCGAACCATTTCTTCTGGGAGCTCCCCCACAAAGGGTCAAAATTTTAAATAATTATGAGTCTTATAAATTGTGATCAAAGTGTCCGATTGTCTTCAAATTACACACATCACAATATTTTTATTAACCCATGGTCTGGCGTACAGATGGAATATATCGGTCTGAATATCGGTACCGAATTTTGTCGATAACTCATAAAATAAGTAAAAAAATCCCCCACAGGTCTAGGCCTAATTATTATGCAAAAGTGTTGTAAAACTGTTATTTTATTCTATTAAAATACAACCCTGATGCCATGCCGGTTTTCTATCAGAGTTAAAGTACAGAATTCTAAAGGATTTTAAATTCACTAGAAATATTTTCCTCAATAATTTTTCTGACTGAAAAATCCATTTCACGGGCACTTAAGCACAGAAGCTTAAGAAGCTAGTCTAATGAAGTCTCATCATTCTAAGAGAATTGGAACAAACATTTTTTTTAAAGAATTAAAAAAAAACAAGTGTTTATTTATTGGCTTCAAAAGTTCTCTTCTCAGAAAGAAAACATTAAAAAAACATAACAGCCCACATAATCTAAATTTTTCAAACATTCTTGAGAGTATTACGAAATAAATTCGAAAATTTCATATCATTACAGTTAACTGTTAATAAATCACTTGATCCAATAACAATAGATATGTGACACACATACGCATCTTTGGCGATGCTCAACTGATGGCGTCACACTTTCTGCCTACATATTTGCCAACATTCCAAAACAAACACAGCAAGGACATGTGTCCCTTTCCACAAAAATTGCACAACCAGATCAACTCAGAAAGAGCAAATTAATGGCGGCACTTATATTAATATTACCACTCAAAAGAAAAAAAAAAAAACAATTTCCAGACTCTGCTAAATTGTTTACCAAACATTAGCATTGGCATTTAAAGCTTAATTTTTATATAATCCGCCAATGACCCACTCTTTCCCCACAGTGTCTGTCACCTTTGCTTAGGGTTTGTTTTCGTTTCTTGTTTTTTCGTTTTTTTTCGTGCCATGTTGTTGCCTTGCACTTGTCAAATGTTGCGCTAGTTGGCGTTTTGGCTGGCCAACTGTCAAAAAAAAATTTATATAGATTTTTTGTAGGTATACTCAGTTCAGGTTTTCATATGAAAAAACCCTCTCAAACACATGGAATAATCTGCTTAGTTTGCAATTTTTTTCACGCCAACCATTTCAAGGTTATCGAAATAAATTTTGCTGGAATTGAAATTAAATTCTTTTACAAAGTCTGTTCCTCGTCACACAATTCATTTGTAATACAATATTCCAATCTCACTTGCAGGCAGGCATTGAAAAATTCACTGAACCAAAGGAATGTTGTAATTTTCTGTACACTTTGCCAGTTGTTGGGGTTTTCCAACTAAGTTTTCTTCTCAATTTCACACCATTATTACCTTTTCTATTATTTTTAATCTGAATTTCTTTTAAAAGTCATTGATATAATTTATTAAAACATATTTTTTCTTAATTTTTTTCTCTTTTATTTGTTGAAAAAAATTCTAACTATTTCTATCGATTTTACCCGTGATTGCTCTGTTTGTGTTGTACGCTTACTGTAAGGCCAGACTAAATCCTATGCTGCTCTGTTAGCTTTTCTTTTGCCTTAAACAACGTTTGATTTTCCTATTTAGGAGAGCTTAAAAGCTCTCTTCAACTCATATTCCTCATTTCCTTTTCGGACTTAGTAAATGCTAGACATAACAAAAACATCCCTTCCAATTACCTGTCATTTTGCATTTGTGTGAGTTTTGTCTGTTAAATAGCAGCACCTGTTAATGGGTATCAGGAGAAGAGAGTGAATATGTGTGTGAGAGAGAGAGAGACTTAGTGTTTGAGATGATTTAAGTGGCGGAAGTGTATTTTGAAATGAATGTAAGGCACTGAAATAATCGGAGACAGGAAAAAACATTCTAAAAAAGGAATTAGATTAAAAAATAAACAACATCGAAATTAGTTTGGCCTGGAGAGTTAAACACTCAACGTATTTCGTAGAATTTATCATCCGTCTTTATTGTTGTTTTCAAATCTAAAAGTCCAAAGACACACAAATGCCTAAAAACCGGAAAATAAACTTTTTAAATATTCAAAATAGTCTAAGAACAAAGGACCTCAATAATCAATGAAGCTCTACATCATTATTCGTAAATCGACTCAATATGAAATGGTGTGATTTCCACAGATAATGTGATAAGAAATCTCCCATTTAATAGCCTAAATCTATAAAAACAGTTAAATCTAGTCCAGCATGCAACAAAACAAGATAAGAAGTATTAGTCGGTTTTGCCGACTTATGTATACCCTCAGCCAATGCTCGATTATTTAAATATATTTTGATTTCTGCTATGATTATTCAAATTATTGCCCCTCTATGGAGTAGGTTCCGAAGGAATGAACCAATATTGTCCATTTCGTATCGGACCTCAATAAATTTGATATAAATATTGTGACGTGCCAGCTTTAGACTATATCGACTACTTCCTTCACTTAATGGTCCGATCTCTACCATCTTTACAACATATCTTGTGTTGATAGAAATATTGAGATGTGCCAAGTCTGTGAAGGAGTGAACCGATATATCCCATCTTTATAGCAGATCTTGTGTTAGTAGAAATAATTGGATGTGTGAAATATGAAGAGAACCGGATGCTTATTTCCGATTTTATAATCGTTTTGTTTATTCAAAACTGGGAGAGGTACCAGAAGGAATGGTCCGATCTCTACCATCTTTATAACAGATCTTGTGTTGATAGAAATATTGAGATGTGCCAAGTCTGAATGGAATCGGATGTTAATTTCGCGTCTTAGAAGCTTCATAGATATTCAATTTTGATCCTTTGTGGGGGAGGTAGCAGAAGGAGTGGACCGATATATCCGATCTTCACACCAGACCTTGGGTTTATAAAAATATTGTTATGTGTGTAATTTGTTTATCGAACTGCCACATCACATTTTATAGGAGTTAGAATTATTCAAAATGTTGACCCTTTGTGGGGGAGATACTTGATGGAGTGGACCGATATTGTCCTAATTCGCACCTGATCTTGCACTGATGCAAATATTAGGATTTCCAGAGTTGGTGCAAAATTGGATATCCGTTCTCTTTTTGTGCAGAAATCATATTTTTGAAAATGTCTACCTTTTATGGGGGAGGTACCAAAAGGAACCGATATTGTCCATCTCCGAACTCGATCTAAGTTTCTGGTCTGATTTCTCTGATTTCAGATTAAGAAAAAGTTTCAAACTTTTGTTAAAAATCCTATAAATTTCCCATTTATTTAAAACAGAAATCGCTAAAAACGAACAACTGTAAATCGGTTCATTCCATAAAAGCTCAAGGAGCAGAGCTTTTAACTGTTAACATATTTATCATCACCACAATCTTACAAAACACCCCCTCACGGTTAGACATGCGCCTCTTCCCACAAACATTCTTGAAGGGCGGCAGAATGTTTGGCGCCTGGCATCTGACATACCAAACAATAACAACAACCAATTCCGGACATTCCATCTGTCATCTTCATCATCCTCAGCATCGTTATGATATGAATATTCCGCTATTGTGATGGAATCCTTTCAAGCCTAAAGTACTTCCGCCTAACATTGTGTTGAGAACAATTGCGAACATGTTTATGAAGACATTAAGAGCTACTTTCAACAAATAAAGACAATATTAACGGAAATGTAGATACGTGGAAGGGGGAAAAGTAGGTTAAGGGACAAATGTCAATTGCAAAAATGGATAATACAACATAAAATTAAGAGGGAGTGTATTGTGATAGATGTATAGTGAACCTTATTCAAAGAAAGGAATCATTTTTAAATGCTTAAAAAATTAATATAGAACAGTGTTCAAACAAAGAAACCTTTTACAGATGCTTACAAAACGCTGCAAGAAAAAGTATAAAACTTAAGCCCCAACCACATGATCAGTACAGATAAAAATATTGTGCTGAACTTGGTTAAAACCAAAAAATACCTCGCACTTCCATTATTTGAATGTTTGAAGGGGGAATTCTTTGGTTTCTAAGAAGCTCTTAAAATATTGATGATCACTCCATTGAATATGTATTTATAGTTGGGGAACCCCTTTTGCTATTAGACGTCTAAAAGATACTGATAAGAATATTACAACACAAGTTCATTTATATATATTTAAATGAGTGAGTTTAGTTTATTGAAAAGTATAAAAACCTTTGATGCAAACTAATCGCCATCAGTTGCAGTTTGAAATCCTCCAAGACAACTTGTGGAAGAACATCTATTCAAAATGAAATTCCTTATTGTCATTGCGATCGTCGTTGCTCTCTTTGGTGCCTTGATCGGAGCCAATCCTCAAAGAGCGAGAGCACAAACATTACTCTACTATCCACCACCCACAAGGCCACCACGTCCAATTCTTGTCTAAAATTTGAAAAGGCTCTCAACATTTTTCAAAAATACCTTGAGACCCTATTGACAATGGCTTTAAAGAAATAAATAAATTATATTGTAATTCTAATAAACAATATATTTGAAGAATACAGTATTGCATTGTTTTTTTCTTCCTTTCCTGTTTTGGGATGTATTTTAATTATTATTTCTCCTCCATGCCGTTAGTATTTTTAAAATAAAAATCTTCATTTATATTTTTTTAAAGTTTTATATTTTTATTATTTATTTTTTTTATTGATTAATTTATTGTTTATATCTTAAGCCAATCAAAAATGGGGAGGCAGACTATTTTGACGATATTCGTAGTTTTCGGTTGTGGCTTGTTGTATATAAAAATTGTTGTTTTTGTTATTTTTTTCATGTAAACATCGTTCATCACTTATTTCCAAGAAGAAAACCATTTGAATTAAACAATTAAGAAGAAGAAAAACAAAAGAGTATCTGATGCCGGTTTCTTTCTTGAACTATGGAAATCTCCAATGAATATTAAATGTCTCTTAAAAAGAAAACAAAAATTTCGTAAAGGTTGCTGTTGCTTTAATGTTTGACGTTACAGGAATGGGGGGAAACTGGCTGGCTGGCTGGTTGGTTGGTTGATAGGCGTCTAAATTCGTGTCTATGACAATTTCTTGGCTTTCTGATAGAGAGTATCAACAACTTTGCCCATGTTCTGTATGGTCTCTAAAACACGTTCGTATGTCTTGTCGGTGGGAGTCTCTTCGAAAACAATTAAAACTCCTTCGCCCTGATCCAAGATGCCCAAGAATTTCTTATCCAAAATCATTTGTGACAATTTCTTCTCAACCTGTGGCATGGGCAATTTAATGCATTCAGCTACATGGGAGACCTAAAAAGAAGTTTTCAATTCAAATGATATGCCTACTCATGATATTCTTCAGTCTACTTACTTGTACACGAGAATAGGGCTCAATAATGCGACACAGATTCTGTTCCAACATGGTGTCATAGAGGGTACCCAAGTGAGCCTTAACTATAACATCTTCAGCCAATTCCTTGTTGTAATCCTTCAGTGCCTGTTGGAAGTCGGCCAATGAACGTTTGTGTGAGGCCTCTGCAACTGATTTCATGGCATCTATATCACGTCCGGAATATGTAATTGCCTGCAAATAAATAAATGCACTATTTATACTAAATTGCGTTGTGAGTGTATCTTGCTATACTCACCAATTTTCCGCTAACAATTTGATTAACATCATCCGATTTGCCTAACATAATTTTGCACAACAACATATATTTGAGAGCGGTCAAAGCCTTATTGTTGTCCACACTATCGAAACCTTCAAAGGCCTCATAGAAATAGGAAAACGCTGTCTTGAAGTCACGTTCATCGGCGGCATGCAAAATACCCGATTGTAGATCCAATGAGGCCTGTACTTTGGGAGGACAATAAATGGCATTTGCTGTGGTACGGGCAGATGTTAGAGCAGCACGAGCTTTGGGCAGATTACTTAAAGCATGATAGGTTTTACTTTCCAGCAGTTGAACCTCCACCAATAGATTTTTATCATCCAATTTTTTCAATTCTTTTAGAAGCTGAGAGCCCAACTGCAGTGCATCTGTATACATGCCAGTGTCGAAATAGAGGGCAATCAAACGGGCCTCCAAACTCTGACGAAGGAAGGTGCGTTTCTCTTGTTTGGCCCATTCAATGCAATCCTTACACAATTGAACCTTTAAATAGAAGATTTAAGAAAAGGGCGGATAATCATAAGTTTTTAAATTTTAAGCATAGACTACACAAAAACGCGTAATTTTCACAAAATTAGAAAGTACAGGACTCAAATTCAGAATTTATAAAGAAAGGCAAATTTAACTTTGAATTGAAATCTTTAGTTCTCCCGATTTCTACACATAATCCTCTAGAGTGTGTATTTCAATCTTTGTTGAATCTACGCAACCTCATTGTTTACCTTGTCTACCAATACAAGGACAACACACGCACAAAGCAAATTGATCGCAACGCAAATTTTACACAATCAGTCCGTTGACCTTCTGGAAGTTAATTTGTCTCCCCTTAACTTACCTCAATACCGGTGCCAGCATCCATATCCAGGAACATATCGACTAAAGATCTGACCAACTTTGCTGCCTTTGCCTTGCTGATCAAACTAAGGAAGGGGCGGGTAACTTTAATCAAATCGGCCAGCTCCTTGGCTTTGCCCTCCTGTTTGTAGAGTTCACCCAGCTGCAGAATGCCCTGTTCCTTGATGCGAATGAGTTCTTCATCATTTTCGGCAACTTCTTGCTCTCTGATGATTTTGTTCAACAATGAAATGCCTTCCTCGCGGTTGACAGTTGACAGAGCTTGTGCTCTTTCAAACAAAGTAGCTCCGGCCATATTTATTTTGCTAACAAAAAAAATTTGCAAAACCAAAATGAGTTTATTTTTGAAGATTTTCAATTTCCTCCGAATGACGACTGACTTACCGTTGATTAGAAAACTTGTTCTTGATTTAATTTCGCTCAAATTTCTAGAACTCCTCTATGAAATGAATTTATTATAATCACCTCTTTTAACAAAAATTCGCTTTTTATTATTGGTTTTTGCCAGTCATAATAGGGATATGTAGTTTGATTATAAGAATCGGCTTATTGTTGCCGATAATCGACAAACGATAATGTCTTTGGTCGATGATTAATACGAGTGTTTTCCTTTTATAAAAATGAGAAAAGTTAGCACTTTTAATTTTTTGTTAATGTTAGCACTTTTTTTTAATTTGTTTAATACTCGATTTATTTATGGTTATAGGAAAATTTTACCTATTCTCAAACCGTTCTGCAAAAACTAGCTAAATTGTTTTGTAAGTCTAGGAGAGAGTTTACACAAATTTTAGGCTGGGTAATTTTTTTTAATTTCAAGTCTCTGTTTGAAGGAGCTAGAAGTGAGGGGAATGGTATATTGAAAAATTGATCGTACTAGCTTTTTGGTAATTTCTTTCTATAAACAACAATGCCAGAAAAATCAATGATGACAAACGAAAATATGATGAAAAATTGCCTTATATAAATGGAATGGGATATTTCAAAAGAGAACGATAAATATTGCTATAAACTCGCCTGAATCAGAAGTAATCCTGTTTTAATTCATCATGCCTAACAATGTTAGTCATATACAGCAGACGAAAATATAATATTTTCTCTTCCAAGAAATTTATTACGTCTTGTTGAGTTTTAGTTTCATTAACAATTAATTCGATGTATCGCCAACCAGCTTCTGTTATCATTTATAGTGATTGACAGTTTTTCCACTCTCTTTCATGCTAACAATTCACAATAGTATTGTCAATTACTCTCCGCCTCAGAAAGAAATGTAAACAATAAACGATTGTGACCGAAAATTATTTTCTAAAAAAATACAATTTAGTATTTCTAATTAAACATTAGTTGTTAACGAAACATTTGCACAAATATTAACTAGATTAGTTAAGCTCACAATGGTGGAGGAAACAACACAAACCAACAGGTCAAGGTCGAAAATGGCCCGTCCCAAGCCAGTATATTTGTGGACTGTAGTCGACGTTTTGAAGTGGTTTCGACGCGTTAATAGTGAATATTTGGATTATTTGGAATTGTTTTCCAAGGTAAATAAAGAGATTTCAGTGCAAATTCCTCATTTAAACTGCTTCATTTGTTCGCTAGCATGAAATCACTGGCAGAGCCTTGTTGCGCATCAACGACTCTTCACTGCAACGGATGGGGATAACGAATAACAAGGACCGTTTGGCAATTTGGAGAGAAATTGTCAAACAAAAACTCAAGACTGATATTATGGAAATTAGGGATATGGAACGTATTGTTAATCAACATTCTATGGCCAAAATTACACATCCGAAAGCCACGGCGGCGGCTGCCCAAAAGTAATTGATACTTGTTTTGGGAAAGAATTATTCTTTGGAACAACGAAGTACGTACATACATACATAGTAATGATTAATAGCGAACATACTCGAAAACAATCTCTACAAAATGAAAATAACAACAACAACAAGTGAAACACTCAAGAAACACAACACCAAGTGAGCGGGTTGTACAACAAACAAAAAAACAAACAAGTGCTGTAAATTAAGATAAATTTTAAGTTAGTAAATTAAATTAAATATACCAAAATGAATAGCATTCATATTCTATGATATATATTATATACATACACACAAACATATTTAATCTTTAACCTTTTTTGAATAAAATATCAAATATTCTTACATAAATTAAACTGCACTGTGTGTTTGGTTATGCAAATTGTTTGTATTGCTCTGTTGCATTGCTATCTAAAACGGGGGAGCAGGGCAGAATGAGTGAGCATGTTCAAGCAAGCTATAACTGACCTTACTCGACTAATTTTTGTATTTATTATGTTCGTAAAATATAGGTCTCGAGGAATGGAATTTTTATACTATTATAATTTACACTGATTTTTTTGGTTCACAATATTATGGAGATTGGTTTGATAAAGAATTCTAGACTCTAGGAATCTATTTTTTTGAATATTGATAAATTTATATCACCTATAAGATTGATTTTGAAGATCAGTTTCTTGATACAGTTGTGTTGAAACCTAAGTAACCTTGGGAGAAATCGATGGATATTAGTCTTTTAAATGATATTACTTTAAATGATATTACTTAGTAACTTAGAACATGGAATTTGTATAGGTCCCTCAAATCCCGCTCTACACAAAAGTAGTTTTATAAAATAATGAAATTTTCGTTAAAGAAAGAAAAAATAATGAAATTTTCGTTAAAGGAATTGAGATTTCACAGCATTTTAGATGAAACCTCAACTGACTTTGTATCACAATTTCAAATGTATCAGAAGTAAAACTACAGTCCACGTGCAATTTTTTCATATTTTTCTGGTAATAAAGTACAGATTGGCGGGAATACTTTGACAATTCTTTTTAGAGAACAAAACAAGTAAAAAAAATTAAGTTCGGCCAGGCCGAACTTTAATACCCTCCACATTAGGGTAATGGAAACATTAGAACCAATTATGACCTACAAATACCAATTTTAGACATATTCGTGGGAAAATGTGGCAAAAATCATCAAAATACCGAATATCGGGAGGTACCGCTATGTGGGGCTATACAAAAACGTGGACCTATACATACAATTTTTTGCCAATGGAGCTAGAACCCATTAGGACCTACAAATACCATTTTTTAGACAAATCCGCGAAGAGATGTGGCAAAAATCATAAAAATACCGAATATGGGAAGGTGCCGTTATATGGAGGCTATTCCAAAGCGTTGACCTATACATACAATGTTTCGCCACCGGAGCTAGGACCAATTATGACCTATAAAAAATTATTTTTGAGACAAATCCGTGAAAAAAAATGTGGAAAAAATCATTAAAATACCGAATTTTGGGAGATATCGTTATATGGGGACTACACCAAAAAATGGACCTATATCTTATTTTAAATACCAAACATCCTAGACACAATACAAATTGTTCTGCAAAATTTTGACGTTCTACGTCGAATAATGTGGCCTGTATCGTGATTTCAACAGACAGGCAGACAAACATACGGACATCGTTAAATCGACTTAGAATATTATGCTGATTATGAATATATATACATTATGGAGTCTACGACGAATATTTCGGAATGAAATGGCAAAGTTAATATACCCTCCTTTCCGACATGGAGCGTATGAAAATAAATGGTTTTTAGTTATAGAAAATCTATTTAATGGACTATTTAAATATTCAAAGATTATTATTTCTGCCAACAGGAACTCTAATGAATAAATTTAAATTCTTTAAAAATTAATTATTAAATCTTTTACAATATACTTATGCACCGGGGTCCCTTTGAAATGGTAAATTTGTATATAGTTTCTAACCATTTTTTTTTTGAAAAAAAAAAAAAAACATTTTTTACAGTTGGACCTTTCCGAGATAGCTACGCCGATGTACCGATGAAATAGTAATGCTTTTCAAAACTAATCATTGCATAGTTAGACTCAGACTCAGTGATGATAAATTCCATAATTCCATAGAAAATCCGTTTTTTACTCCCCTATACATCGCCAATAGTCTCAAATGTCCACACGATTGACAACACTGTTTACATTTTAATTCGGTTTTACATGAGTGATGCAACAAATTGGTGCGAATGTGCAAAAATTCGTACTTTTGTACACTAACATTGTACTCTTTGGAGCATGAAAAATTAAGAAATTCGAAAATACAGACTTGAATAGCTTGTTATGAAATAAATAGAAGAAATTAGTAAAAAGGTTTGTACATAAATGGTCTCGTTATTGTGAATTGTCATGTATGCCAATAAAAATATAACCTCAAAATTCTTGTCTTTTGTTTTTAATATTGCCTAGAGATATTTTAAATACATATAAACGAGCATTATGGACTTCTAGTAACTAATTTACCGAAATTCATTTACCCCACATTTGTATAACGCAACCTCCATTTCGTACCCAATAGTTCAATAGTTGTACCACACACAACATATGCCATCTCTATCCGATACTTTTCTTCAATGTTCGCTTCTTTTGAGGTTCAGTTTACATTCAGCCTTCTTCGGAGCCAGCAAGTACGGATATACGCCACTACTAAATAGCTGGCCACTAATTAACCAAAAAAAAGTACTTAAAACAAGGAAATTTACAAGTGGCTTAATTTCTTGAAAAAAATAATTCTCCAAACGATTTTTTATAGTGAAAAAATAGATTTTCGGATAATTTCTGAATTTTCGCAACATTTTTTCTTCTATTAATTCGTTTGGTTGTTGAGAGTGTGGAGTGGAGTGAGTGAGTGTGTGCGTTGTGAATTATAGTGTGTGCTCTGCCATCAATACGTTTTTGTGTACGTGGAAGCGAGAGGCATAGTTGCCGTGGTGGAAAAATGTAAGTATAGCCATCTCTTTTGCACTTGTGGTATTTTCTAATGGGGGGACAGTTATTTATTTTTTCGGTGATGTTTAAACTTTTGTTTTTATTTAGTATTTCTTTCTTGATACAGCCAGGGTTGCCATGTCATGGGGATTGGTATTGTTTTGTGGGAAATGCTTGGCGGGGGTAAAACAGAAACGTACAAAAACAACAACATGCATGCGTAGTGTTATCAATTGTTGTAAACTTAAAAAGCCGTGTGTACAACAACAACAGCAAGAGAGCTGTTTTGATAAAAGTTTAAAAATGAAATTCTATTTTCAACCCATTCAAGATATATTTGTGTGTAAACAAATTGCATTGTTAATAAACAATGGAAAGTGCATTGAGTAAGATAATCATAATTTTGTCATATTGCATGTGGGGTTCTAATAAGTAACCGTTATTTATTTGAATACAAGCTCAAAGTGATGGGAATTTTGGGTGGTTAGTATTGGAAATTTAATAATTTAAATACTCATTTTATTGTGGTTTAATTATTTTAAGGTGACAACAAGTGCTGACCTTTGGATGAAGCCAATTTAAGTACCAACAAAACGGTATAGTTTGATAATTTGTAGATAAAAAAATACTCAGAGATTACTGAGGTTTACTTAATATCTTTAGAAATGAAATAATTAAACTATTTTGAATTTAACTATTTTTACAAAGACAATTTTATCAC